CTTTTGGAAGGCCAAACAAAGTAGTTTCGATTTCACAACGAAACACACCGCGTCTCCACGAAATGGCGGCGGCAGCACTACAGCGAGAATAAAAGTTACGCCTTCTTTCTTTGCGTGAACCTTTGGGCGGTGTTATGCAAATCTTCTCACACAGTGACGTAGACATGTGGGGGCGTGTTAGAACGAGGCATTTTAGGAGGGGGTGGGCCAGTTTTAACTTTTATAAAGTATATCTCTTTGGGTTTGAGACTTTAGTCTTTGCAACTTTAGGGATCTTATCTATTCACGAACAGCTTGTAACACTCCAAAGAGAAAGGAAAACTTGAAATCGCATCATATGACCCCTTTAAGGCTCCAGAGATGATTGGATGTTTTCCAAAAGATTTGCTCCCAGTTTTTGAGTTCTTCATGCATCTGCAATATAACAATAACATATAACTGTAGCATAACTCTGTGTATAGTGTATGCTATAGTGTTATACTAGTGTCATACTGTGTTATACTATAGTATAATGATAGTATAACTTCTGTGTTTCCCATAAGCTCATATGCAAAAACAAAGACACTAATATGCAAAAGATAATTTTATTTTTTGTCGTTATTGTAAAAATACATAAGTTAGTTTTTGTTTTCACAAAAGGTCATAGTAAATATTAAGAAATATAAAGGTCATTCCATTTACATTTAAAAAATATAGGACATTTATCTATTATAGTGTGTGTGTGTGTGTGTGTGTGTGTGTGTGTGTGTGTGTATTAAGAAGAAAAGTGGTCATTGCTAAAGCAGGTAGCAAATAATATATTTTCAATAAAAAGTGGATAACCTTTGAACCTAAGGCACCAAATGACAGTATGTTCTTGTTTGTTGTCTTTGCAGATGTGGGCCATTTTGATAGCCGTGGTTGTTGTCATTATTGTCGTCATTATCAGTGAGTATCAAAGTATTCACAGCCTCTTTAACTCCCTAACATGGGTGGCAGTTGCTCAAAATGACACTGATCATGAGACGCCAGCCGAATGTATTTGATTATTATTAAATATATGGTAGTCTAATGAAAGTATATTAATATTAAATCTAAACCCTGCCCTTTTTGTCTCTTTCAGTCTGGACGCAGTCATAAAGTCAGAAATCTGGTTATGATTGGAAGAAAAGATCAGGATTTGAAGTAGTATCGACTTCAGAAGGAAAAGAGAGATATAACGGATGAATGAATGAATGCTCTTCCAATACGTTCTAACCTGCTGATTTTCAAAAGCATATCTTGTAAACTATCCTCAATGGGTTGTTTTTTTTTTTCTTTTCTTTTTTAGGTTTTGTTTTTAATAACTAGAATTTGAATATGTTTCAGAATGCCATTTCCATACACCTCTAACACACTCCTCTGTGCAAACCATAGAATAATAACTGACAGTGTACAGGTTACAAAATGATCCAAAACCATTAACGCATACTTTCATGATAATATGAGAGTCATTTCGCTATCATTTGGAGGTCAAAACATATTGATCAAAACTCTTGTTGTGAAAGCCATTTGCCATGATCTCATTGATGAATCCCTCATGGACTCTTTCAGTGGACGGCAGTAATCAGACACTCTTGTTTTGGCTGCGTCAGAGTCTTTCTGTGCCAACAAGACATAAGAGCCTTTCCTGAACAACCACAGACGTGCCTTTAAACAACTCCACTGCCATCCCGTAACAACAGCACACAACTTTGCTCTGATTTTACTCAGAATGTCTGCATAAAAATGTTGTATGTAAGTTTGATAACTTCTTCAAAGATTGAATTTTGAAGTGATAATTCACTAATAATTTAACTGCATTATATGTGTTTCCTTATGTAGAAATAGTTTGCTAGGAAATATCTTTGCTCGCCTCTCGCTCACGGTGCCAAAACATTTTATTTTTGTTTATCTGAGCTTTTTTTGTATGCATCTCTTTGTATATCTCACATGTGTATACATTGTAAACAAATGCAATTCTATACTGTGGCCTTACAAACTGTTAAGCATGTTGAATTGCCCGTGTTGGCTCAATAAAACAGATTTAACATCCTTTAGTACTCACATTTTACTCACAAAGGCTGCATAGATTACAGTGGATGATGCTTCAAATCACTTTTTATTTCAGATACTGTGTTCATCAAGGAGAAGAGATGTTCTGATGTACTTGTCCTCTGGTTGCTGTGCATCTTGACCATCCACTGCTGCCATTGTGCTGGTTTAATCCAGTTTACAATCTTCTGTCAAGACAGGAGTGCACATCATGATCCTGTGAAACGGCCATTAACTCTCAAAACAACATCAGACTGAGGGGTTTCAACAGAAAGATGTTTCTTTTTGGCCATTCTTGAAACCTACCTTGGTTCAAAAGACGTTGTATTGTGATTTTTCACATTTTTCTAGTTGGATAAAGTCTTTTCTAGTACCAAATGAATGAGAATGATTTCTTAAGGATGAAGTCCTTATGTCCAGTCCAGTAATACTAAACAAATACATGCTGCTTCAGTGAACAGAAGTAGGCTTACTTTCAAAAAATCTAGTTATGGACGTTCATTTCAGCCAAGGGATAAAAATATTTTCTGGGGGGGGGGAAATTTCAGAAGTGCAATCGTGAAATCTTATCGTAAATTCTGACTTTTTTTCCTTGCAATTCCAAGTTTACATTTTGCAATTCAGTTTAAATCTCCTTTAAATTAAATATATTATTCTGAGTTTTTTTCTGATTTCTGAGTTTGTATCTCTCAAATCTCTCTCTTTTTTGCAGTTCTGAAAAAAATCCAGAATTGTGAGATGAAAAGTTGTGAAAGTCTATCTATCTGTCTGTCTGTAGGTTAATAAAGACTCAACCCAAACATAATTTCCTTACTGCCCCTTTAAACTGGCAATAATGCACCAACAGTACCTTTAATGCATGTACAGACGTCGAAATATTATAAATATATTAATGTTATATTTTAATTTAATATGTATAATAATATTCATCACTATACAGTGACAAAAACATACTGATAAGTAAAATATATAAGAAATGCACAATAATCGACGGGTAATTAAAAAAAATGTTGAATGCTCTATGTTGAATGTCTGTTTATCAGCCAGTCATAAATTACTATTCAGTACCATAGTATATTTCAAATGAACAAACATGCTATCGCAGTACTTTCTTGTATTTTCTTTGTTCTACAGTGTTAGTGCAGATCCTAGCAGTCATTGATCTGCTTACAAAATGCACGCTTTTCAATTACCTACTTAATAAGTACAAGTTCAAGGCCCAGAAATCATCGCATTGTGGTTTATGTCCGCGTAAAAAGAAATGTGCGCTAAACCCTGCCCGAAATGTATGAATATATTCATAATATGCAGGAAAGTAGATCAGGAGGAAAGTTAACTATCTAATCTAGGCTACTTTATTCCAGCCCGCGACGAAACGTATGGCATCACGCCCCACATGTAGTGACGGCAATTTACATATTTTACGTTTTTTAGTTATTTAACACAAGTAATCGCACCCGTACGGTGTGTGACCTGATTTACAGTGGTGTGAAAAAGTATTGGCCCCCTTCCTGATTTCTTATTTTTTTGCATGTTTGTCACACTTTAATGTTTCAGATCATCAAACAAATTTAAATATTAGTCAAAGATAACACAAGTAAACACAACATGCAGTTTTTAAATGAAGGTTTTTATTATTAAGGGAAAACAAAATCCAAAACTACATGGCCCTGTGTGAAGAAGTGTTTGCCCCCCTGTTAAAACTGTGGTTTATCACACCTGAGTTCAATTTCTCTAGCCACACCCAGGC